TCGCCGACCTTATCCCCGGCGGGCCTTGGACGTGTTTCTGTCGTCAGGAGACAGCACCATGTGGGTCTTTCTGGAGTCTGTGGGGACCAGAAGAGTGCCGGGCCGCGAGCGCGCCAGGGAGCGCAGCGCCACCCTTTTCTTTGGAGCGCCCGAGCGTCCCTAGTGAGGGAGAAAGTCAGCCCGCACCCCCGCCCCGGCCTGGCACGCGCTGGACGCGCGTCAGCTCCAGCGGGATCAGGGAACACGCGGGCGAGCGAGTGTGACTCGGGAGGCTTCGCCCAATCCGGGGCGGAGAGGAATGCGCGCACCCGGACGCCCTGGCCCATAGGAACGCAAAAGAATTTCCGCGCAGAGTCCGTCCTCCTCTCCAGTCTCGCTCCCTCCAACTCCCTTTCCCTGTGGCGATAGTCACTAGTGTGCTTGAGTGACAGGCACCAGGAAGGAACAAATACCAGGACGCAAAAAGCACGGGGCTGGGCTGCATGCAGGTTCAGACTCCTCTAGGGGGTTGTGGGGTGACGCGTGAGGGTGGTGGGTGCTGGCTAAGCCCCAGGTCATGGACTCACAGTGGGACCCTGTGCAGTTTGTGTGACTGACTCTCCCACTGGCCTAGAGGTCGTGGTTCACTGTGACACCCCCATCTCTCCAAATGCTATCTGATGGAAGACTTGCTAGGTAAATAGTTGTGAAACAAGTAAATAAAGCAACAGCCGGAACCGCCTGGAGCATTCAGCGTCCTCTGGGAGGTAGGCAGTCCTCTAACCATCACACAAGTACACACAGAGGTGCAAACCTCATCACAGGCCCTGAGGAAGTCTGGAGGTGTGGACGAAGCATTCAAGGGGACCAGGATTAGTATGGGGGCTTCCTGGAGGAGGTGAGACTTAAGGATATGTATTAGGTGGAGGAGGTAGAGGAGGGAGGAGGCTTGGCTCAGGGAGGAGAAAGGACAGAGGAGACAAGGCCCCTGTGGTTGGAGAATGGAGGTGGGGAGATAGGGGGGTGATGAGGCCGGCCAGCTCCTGCAGGGTGAGGAAAGAAGGAGTGGACTTCTGGGGAAGGGTGAGAGGGGCAGGAGTGCCAGTGAGTGCATCCTTGCTCATGAAAAGTGATTTTTTAGAGGGAATGGTACTGAGGAGAAAACAGCCTGAGAAATCACTGATAAGTCATTTCCTGGGGGTCCGGCAGAAGACCTCGCTTTGGAGAGTGTGTCAGCTGGGCACCCTTCAGCCTGCCCCCTGCCCCGTCCCCCCAAGACCCTTACTCAGCCCCGCTCTGGATGTCCAGGAGCCTTGAGCAGAAAAGGAAGTAGCTCCGACCAGGTTAGCAATGGTCGGCCCATTGGATCTTCTCATTTCCCCTCCCTGTCTGCCACCCTCTTCTGACTCTGCCCACAGCCTGAAGGAAAGAAAAAAAATGATAAGATGTGGGGGCTTTTTTTTTTCTGAGATGGAGTTTCGCTCTTGTTGCCCAGGCTGGAGTGCAGTGGTGTGATCTCAGCTCACTGCAACCTCCGCCTCCTGGGTTCAAGTGATTCTCCTGCCTCAGCCTCCTGAGTAGCTGGGATTACAGGCCTGGGCCATCACGCCAGGCTAATTTTGTATTTTTAGTAGAGACGGGGTTTCTACATGTTGGTCAGGCTGGTCTCGAACTCCCGACCTCAGGTGATCCGCCCATCTCAGCCTCCCAAAGTGCTGGGATTACAGGCATGAGC